AGAAAATCGGTATATTTGCCCGTATGCGGCAGCGAGCATGGGGCATCTGAATGCTGTAAATCTGCAGTGAGCATGGCCAATCGTAACTACTTGTCATGTTGTGACGACGTTTGATGAATGCATAAAGGGTGGCGATGTTTGTGTTGTGTAATGTCACGTCCATGCGCGTCGATGCATGCAGAACGTGTACGTGGATGTTGGGAAGCACACAGCGGCTGAGGTCTACTTTTGCGAAGGTGTCAATGTCGGTGTCATAATGAGCAAGGCGTCATTCCATTCGTAGGTCTCATAAACTGCACGTGATGAACGCACTTGCGTGGTTTCAAGTCGTGAAATGGAGTATTGGGCGAGAGAGGTCAAAAAATATACGAAAAAAAAAAAATTCTAACCCCGTATGCAGCGAATGCATTCATTAATCAAGATGTAGGACTCATTAGACGAATCGTGATATAATATATATATATATAATATAGGTATACAGTATAGTTTATCGGGAAATCTGATCACATCTGCATCAATGCGCCTACACGCATTCTAACGTCGTTTTCTGTTGCCAGTATAGTCTTCTCAGAGCAAACCGAAGAGTTGCTGAGCCGGCTTGGCCGAAGGTGCTCAAGCGTTACGTTGACGTCTATCAAGGCCTTCGTCTCAACGTATTGTACGTTTGAGCGAGGAGAGTGTTCCGTATTCCCCGTGGAGAGATGCTGGCATATTGTCGTCAAACAAACGTTCTGCCAATGGAGGAAGAGGTGGACCGTCAGTTGGCGTGGTGCACGATATATAATACTAGAAGTATATGTTTTGCCAACTTTTTGTTCAATATGGTCCTTTCTTTGGAGGTGGTTGGTCTCTACAGAAATGATGTATAATAGTGTAAACAGTACACTATTAATAGTAGTTGTTGGGCAGGGTGGCAAAGTATGGCCAGAAGGTGCGCGCGATTTGTGACGCCACTCATATATATGTCTCTGCATAATATCGCGACAGAGCAGGGAAAGCGTGTCGGGTCGTGTGCATTTGCCCGGCTCGCTTGATGCTCTGGCCCCACCTGTGTAATGGCCTGATCCAACGCTTGCTTGCTCTCTATCTAAACCGGTGGGGCCGTTAGGGCCGTTTTATTAGGGCCGTTTTATGCATGAAAAAAAATTGTACAAAACAAAAAATGTACAAATCGTCCGAAATTCCGGAACTTGGACAGAGGCGTTTGTCCAAATATTGTCCAAAAATTCGGAACGAACCTGGGCGCCAAAATTTGTACTCTAGAAGCTTCCACATTTCGGACAAATTGTCCAAATAAATTGGAGCATCACAACAAACCCAGCAGCTAAAGGACCTACAGGACCAACTACAAGGAAGAAGCAGCAGCGGAGGGTACTTGGATAGCGGTAGGGCAATGGCGGAACGCAGGAAACGCGGCGCGCCTCTTGGTTCGTCGTGTGCTGGCCCACCGAGCCAACGATTCAGGCGTGCATCCGGTCGCCGAGAGCTGGTGCGGCAGATGAAAGCAGCTGCTGCTGTGGTGGTGCTGGTACTGAGTGCGGCGGCAGTGGTCACCTCTGTAGCTGTGCTCGCTAGCGCTAAAAAGACGCGTGCGGCTATCAACGAGCCACGGCGCCTGGTTTGGGAGGATCACGCTGCTGAACTCAACAAGCGGAAGCTCTTTCGTAGGATGTATCGCATGGAGAACCGGTGTTCAACAAACTGGCTGGGTTGCTGGAACCGAACTTCCAACGGAACGACTACTACGCAAGTGAGAATAGCGAGAAGGAGGGAGGNGTTCACCTCTGTAGCTGTGCTCGCTAGCGCTAAAAAGACGCGTGCGGCTATCAACGAGCCACGGCGCCTGGTTTTTTGGGAGGATCACGCTGCTGACCTCATCAAGCGGAAGCTCTTCCGTAGGATGTATCGCATGGAGGAACCGGTGTTCAACAAACTGGCTGGGTTGCTGGAACCGATCCTCCAACGGAACGACTACTACGCAAGTGAGAATAGCGAGAAGGAGGGAGGGAGAGATGGGAGGGCGGGGGGGCAGGGAGAGAGAGACGTACGAGGCGCAGAACTCATGCCGTGGTGTTTTTCCCGTCCTTCCGTTTGTTGCTGATGCTGAAGTGTATGCTATAGCATTGCAGAAGACCACGGTTGGTGTGTTGGTTTTTTTTTTAAGTGTATTCTACTGCTGTAGGAATCAATCCGAATCATCCCGCAGCACCACCGCCCGCACTCTCACACCAGCAGGACGGTTTACACAGCAGGACGGTGACCTCCGGTGTCTGACTAGGGTGAGGATAACACTTTCTTGGCCCAGAACTTGCTATTTTCGTCTGCTGATACGTTCACGCTATGCTTATTCTGTGCTTCATGCGAAACAGGAAAACGGTATCAAGGCGGTGCTGTTCCCACGAAGATCCGACTAGCTATCGGCTTGCGGATGATGGCCGGTGCTTCGTATCTCGATGTCGCCGTGCTTTTCGGCGTGTCCAAGGAGACGGCCTTCAGCATCTTGTGGCAGGTGGTGGATGCCATCAACAGCACAGCAGAGGTTGGGCCGTTATTTTTTCCGCAGAGCGAGGATGAGTGCACCCGGCAGGCGGCAGAATGGGAGGTGCGGAAATGACACACTAAATAATTAACAGCAGCAGGGTAGATTGCATGTTTGCATTCCAGGCAGGTGACTATGATGTTGTGAACGAACATGATCGTGTTTGGTGGCGATTTAGTTTCAACATTACTTTGAATATAGATTACAGTATGCGAACCGACGTACGTGCGAACATGGCCAAAAACAGGCAAGGCGGCGAAAATGGACAGACAGGTGTTGTGCTGTGGTATGCCTACCGGGTCTGGTGTCGAAAGAGCAATTCAACTTCACCTCTTCCGTAGGCTACAGGCCTCCTAACGTGTATGGTAAATATACAAGGTACTACTGCTTCAGAGCCTGACCCAAAACAAATGACGCCGATAGCATGGATGCATGCATGTCGATCCTCCGCTCGGCATAATATCCTGGTTGTCTAGACGCACCGAACGAGGAGCGACCGGGAAGCACCTGTGACAGCACGGGGAAACCATAATATCTTGTGTTCACGTATTGGCTTGATGCATGGTGAAATGAGCTCCAGTTTGCAGGGAACATTGGCACGAACAGTCGCACTGTATTGATTGGCATGTCTAGGAGAGGGCTCGTCTTTAATTGCTCGCACACACCTGTACGTTTTTTCTGGGGTAGTCGATGGGCTTGCCGCTGCCCGAAAATCAAACTTTAACGAATCTAAGAGCGCCTCTGTTGTGTCCCTCCCCGCCTGCCATGTCCCTCCTCAGGAAAAAAGCCCGGGCGGCGCCTTTCAAGGTGTGGTAGCTGCGGGGGATGGCCTCTTCGTGAAGACTCTTGCTCCTAACGGTCGGAAGAAGACGCGGAGGTGGTCCAGGCACGCCCCCACCTACTCGTCGACAAGACTATGCCAGGATCTTTCAGCACGACCACCAAGGACGCGCAGAAACCGACCAGGTCAGGCGAAGTCTCCACGCGCAAGGGGATCACGATGATGCTGGACAACAAGCGCCAGTACCGCCCAAAGCACAACTTGGTGCGCAACGCAGCGAGGAAGACGTGAGGGATCGAACGCGGGCGGGCTGCGGTGGAGGGTGGGTCCCGAGGACGTAGTGCATGGATGATGGATGAAACGAGGCAAATGCGGCCGTGGTGGCCTTTGAGGAGCGTGGGCCGGGGCCGGGGCGGCGGATGTGGACCGTGGTCGGGAATGCAACACCTCTGGTGGGGTAGGGCGGGGGGGGGGAAAGGGAAGGGAAGGCGCACGGGCTGGTGAGAAAGTTTTTTTTTGTTTGGGGGGAGAGGGTCGGGCGCGAAATCCACATGCGCCTCTACGAGGACGTTTCGGGCAATTTCGCGGAGGTCGTGTTTTATGTGTTACAAACACCATAAACCGGGGTATTCTACGAGTGGTGTCCGGTAAGATTTCGTGTTGTTTCGGTACGTATTGTCGCTGTTCATTACGTCGTTTGTTTGGGTGTCATTCCTGCGTTGTGCATCTCTTGCGCGAGAAAATTCGAATTGCAGAGACGTTGAAGAAAAATGTAGGTTTCCAAACGCATTTATTTTATAACATTTGGCGTGTAGGGTAAGGGTGAGCACCCTCCCCCCTGTGTGGGGGAATTTTGTCATGTCATAGTTGCGTGATGCGAGATGGTAACAGATATGTTTTTTTTTTCTGACTTCACGATGTTGCCTCTAGGGAGACAGTGTTGGCTGAACAGCATCATGGCGTAGACGGTCAGCTCCCACAGCCCGGGATAACGGTATCGGGAATGGATCCGCGTTCAAAACGTTTTTTACGTTGTATTTGACTAAGTTCGCGTCGTGAGGAGACGTTGTTTCCGAAGCATCTACGAATGCAGACGGTGGTTGGTGAAAAACATACCGACCAAAAACAAACAAGCGGTACTGCTGTACGTGTCTAAAAAAAAACGAACTTTGGTCGTGCGCCACACGTTCGCTCTGCGTGTCCCCCCCCCCTGGTCATCTGTAAAAAAACACCACAAAAAAAAAGACAAGTGGTACTGCTGTACGTGTCTAAAAAAAAACGAACTTTGGTCGTGCGCCACACGTTCGCTCTGCGTGTCCCCCCCCTGGTCATCTGTAAAAAAACACCCCAAAAAAAAAGACAAGTGGTACTGCTGTACGTGTCTAAAAAAAAACGAACTTTGGTCGTGCGCCACACGTTCGCTCTGCGTGTCCCCCCCCCCTGGTCATCTGTAAAAAAACACCACAAAAAAAAAGACAAGTGGTACTGCTGTACGTGTCTAAAAAAAAACGAACTTTGGTCGTGCGCCACACGTTCGCTCTGCGTGTCCCCCCCCCCTGGTCATCTGTAAAAAAACACCACAAAAAAAAAAGACAAGCGGTACTGCTGTACTTGTCTAAAAAACAACGAGTTTTGGTCGTGCGCCACACGTTCGCTCTGCGTGCCCCCCCCCCTAGTCATCTACGAATGCACGCGGTGGTTTGTGAAAAACTCAAAAAAAAAAAAAAGTGGTACTTCTGTACGTGGCTAAAAAAACCATCGAACTTCGAGCGTGCGCTACGCGTTCTCCATGCGTGTGCTACACGTGGTGCACTCGTCAAACACCCACCCGACAAAAGACAAACGGTACGGCAAGTGAAAGCGATCTGCCCTCTCCCTCCCCCGCCCACACACGAACGATCTTACACCAACCGCCACTAAAACACAATCGATCGCTCTTGCACATGTGGAATCGGGGAGGGACCGCGGGCTGTCCCTCAAAGGGGACTCTTGTCCCATTCAGCCATCTCGGTTCTAATCTTCGCAATATTTTTTTCCAGAAAACCGACCATTTCTAGCGCCGCGCTGTCGCCGCCTGCCGCCTCTGCTTTGGCTTGTTTGAGATTTTTCGTGGCGGCTTGGAAAGGTTCGAACAATGTGTCGAAAAACCTCGATTTTGCGGTCTTTTCATCTACGATGTTCTGCGGGGAAGGTGCTGCGGCGGGGGCGGGTTCGGACGCTGGCCGAAATAGCTCGCTTAATCCGCCGGGGGGCAGTCCAAGTCCAGACGCCACTGAGTGCATGGCAACCGCGGCCGTCTCTTGCACGCTGACGGCGTTCTTAG